GGTGACAGGCAGAGAGGAGGTGCTGGTGACAGGCAGAGAGGAGGTGCAGGTTGACAGGCAGAGAGGAGGTGCAGGGTGACAGGCAGAAGGAGGTGCTGGTGACAGGCAGAGAGGAGGTGCTGGTGACAGGCAGAGGGAGGTGCAGGGTGACAGGCAGAGGGGAGGTGCAGGGTGACAGGCAGAGGGGAGGTGCAGGGTGACAGGCAGAGGGAGGTGCAGGGTGACAGGCAGAGGGAGGTGCAGGGTGACAGGCAGAGGGGAGGTGCTAGGTTTGGGATGACAAACGTTCTATCTAGTAAGTTTTCTGGTGGTTGGATGTCTTTAAAAGGAGTCTGGTGGCCAAGTTGGGGCAGTTTGAATGCACTGGTCATTCCATGGAAGACAGGCAATCTGCTCCCCTAAATATGAGCAGCCCTGCAAACTCGGCAGAGCGTTGCCCTGAGCCAGCCCGACTCCACGGCCGTGGGGTGGCATCTTAAAGCAGCCCCTCACCTCCTCTTCCACGTGGCTGCTCCCGTGAGCAGAGCCGGCTGTGTAGCCCCAGGAACGGGGTCTGTATCACTGAATCCCATGCAAAGTGTTGAGCTGGTGTTATGTTTTTGCTGTGTGTGTTTTCAACAACATCCATCAAATTAAATAGAAAAATTTTAAATGCCAAAAAAAGAGGGAAATTTGCATTGTAAATTATTCCCAATAAGCACAATTTAAGTAAGTGACTCATTTTCTTTTTTGGGAAGCGGCAGCCTTACAAGTATCTAAAACTTGACAGTGAAAATCAAACATCTGATTTTCAGAAATTTAATGGTGGAGCTGCTAGCCCCGGGTGAGCTGTGTGTGGGAGGAACACTCTGTGAGGGAATCCGCTCCGGGGGTGGGGGGGACAGAACAGGGAGACTTAGAAACCCTCTCCTCTCTTTCCCTAGCCTCCTGTTATCACTTAGCTTGATGAAAACGGTGTTCAAAAACAACGCATGAACACCTTAAAACCTTCCTTGGTAGTAGATGTTTTAGGGAAACATGAAAGCTGGTGGGAACTAGCGTATAACCAGATGCCCAGACGGAAGGGCCACACTGGGGAGTCTGGAGGTCTGTGGTGGGAGGCAGCCCCCTCCCCATACACCTCCATCCAGCTGTCAGCTAGCTGTGTGAACTGGTCACAGGGTCTCCGAGGCTCCATAGCTCAGGGGTCTGCGGCTACCCTAAGGGAACCACTGGCCTAGGCACCAAGACACCATCCTGCTCTGAGAAGTTCTTGTGCGAAGGCCCACATCCTCTGAACACACACGACCCTGCAGTGCTCACGTGGCCCTTATTACGTATTAATAGGCCACTTCCTGTGACTGTGTGACCGCCAGTGGCCACCTGATGTCAGGAGACCCCAGTCCCTGGTGAAGGACACCACGCTTGGAAAAGCAGGTCAGAGAAGAGTGTGACCCTCAGCGAGGTGGGGGGCACAGCGGATGCAACAGTCTCAAACAACCACGACCGTGGGAATGATGCAGCAGTGGGCCTGTGGGTCAGAACCGACTCGATGATACCAAACAGGGTCAGACTGACAAGTTCCCGGCTGTACAGTGAGCTATCGTGGCTGCTAATGGAAAGGTTGAGGTTCAAGTTCACCCATGGGAACCTTGGAGGAAAGGCCTGGTGATCAGAAAATTTGGCGTTGGGAAACTCCATGGATCACTGCTCTTCTCTGACACATGACCTATCATGAATTGGAGACAAACTGCAGGAAACTGGTCAGGAATGAAGATAGGTTTGGGGGATCAGGGCATGAGCTACAAGTTGCTGAACGACCTTCTGTCTCCGTGCCTGATGGAAGTGACTGGACAGCCCCAGGTGGGGGAGGCCTCCAAGGGGGCCTTCTACTCCTTCCACTGCCAGGCTAACACCTGGGATCCCGGTAGGACTTGGACAGAACCATGGCGAAGGAGGCCCAACTGGACACAGGCAGAACATCAAAGGGAGACCTTTACCCACTCCCCGGGAAACATCCAGACCTCTCCTCCTATCATCCCCATGTCTGAGCTTGGAAGAGCAGCGCCCACTCCCCATGTGGACAGCTCCCGAAGACTTGAGTAGAGTGGAACCCAAGGACAATGGGCTGCTTCCGGGAGGACCCAGCCCCGGGGCTGCAGCTGTTGTCCAGTCAGGGTCATTGGGCATCTGGAGGCCCAGGGGCCCCGCCCCGCCGCCCCCTCCCGCACCTCAGTGCCTCCAGGATGGTCCTGTGTGCCTCATCTCGATGTTTCATCCCCACCAGGCTGCTGACCCACTGCTGCTGGAGGTACTGCTTCTCCATGGTGATGGCATCGATTTCCGTGCAAGCCTGCGGAGAGGGGCCGCGTCAACGCGTGCACGCCACGGCCTGCCGAGAGGGGCTGCGTCAACAGCGTCCATGCCACGGCCTACAGGGAGAGATCCTGTGACCCCAGAGGAGGAGACCTGTCAACAGCGTCCGCACTATGTCCTGCAGAAAGAGATCCCGTCACCCCAGAGGAGGAAACCGTGGCACCAGAGGAAGGGACACCTTAGGCCCAGAAGACAGGAATCCACAGCCTCTGAGAGGGGGACCCTTTGGACCCAGAAGACATGACCCCGCGACTCAGAGGAAGAGAACCCGTCCCCACAAAGGAGGGATTCTGTGGCCTCAGAGGAGGGACCCCATAACCCCAGAGGGAGGGAACCTGCAGCCTCAGGGAAAGGAAACCCAAGGCCCCAAAGGGCACGACTCCATGGCCTCCGAGGGTCCCTGCCGCCCCAGAGAGACCCTGCAGCCCGAGCACTCTGTGTCTCCTTTTGGTTCATTTCATTTCCCATGTCAGCCTGCCTAGGTTGCAGTTCCCAGCGGTCTGTGGTGTCATCTAACATGATGGGACAGGGTCACCTCCTACAATGTCATAGGATGTAAGCACCTCCCATAGTGCCGTGCAATGTGGTCACTGCATTAATGCCACGGAACCACTCGGTCAGGGGAGAGCAGGGGTGCCTTGGGGTGTGGTTGCCTCTAGAGAGGGCTAGGAAGATCACCCTGTTTCTCACTCTCCTACTCGACCTGTCACTCGACCTGTGGCTTGTGGGGCTCTGGAGGACACTCCAGAACAGGCGGCCATCTGACCTGTATTCAGACCTTGGACCTAAATGCCCCACAGATGTATGCCTAGATCTGTATGTATCTATATCAAGCTTTGTAAAGATAAGAGCAGGCACACCACCACCATGAAGGTGATGCATCCAGGGTCTTCCGCTCCTGTGCTGTCCCTCCACCCTCCAAGCATGATGTCCCTCTCTGAGGACTGGTCCCTCCTTGCAACATGTCCAAAGTATATCAGAATCCTTGCCTCCCAGGAGCAGCCTGGTTTCACCCTCTCCAGGATGAACCCATTTGTTCTAACAGTCCATGGTATATTCAATGCTCTTCTCCAGCACCACAGCTCAAAGGCATCAACTCTATCATCCCTAGTCATTGTCCAGCTCTCTGATACATAGCAAATAATTGCAAAGACCATGGCCTGGATCAGGCACACCTTAATCTCCAGACTGACATTGTTGCTCTTTAGTACTCTGGAGAGGTCCCTGACAGCAGATTTTCCCAGTGCAACTCATCTTTTGATTTCCTGGCTGCTGGTACCGAGTGTTGATTGTAGAACCAAGCAAGCTGAATCTGTTAACAGTCTCAATCTCTTCTCTGTCTATCATGATGCTGCCAGTTGGCCCAGTAGTGAAAATCTTTTTCTTGATGTTGAGCTCCAATCCATATTGAAGGCTGTAGTCCTTGCCCATCTGTAGCAAACTCCTCAGTTTTAGCAAGCAGGGTTGTATTATCTGCATAATGCAGGTTGTTGGTGAGTCTTCCTCCAAACCTGATGCCACATTCTTCCTCATAAAGCTCAGCCTCCTGGATAATCTGTTCTGCATACAGATTGAAAAGGTATGGAGATAGGACACATCCCCGGAGTATACCCTTCCCAGTTTTAAACCATGCAGTGTTTCCTTGCTCTGTTCTGACGACTGCCTCCTTTTCCAAGCATAGGTTTCTCATAAACACAATCAAGTGTTCTGAGATTCCCATTCTTCTCAGAGTCAGCCAGTTTGTTATGGTCCACACAGTCAAAAGCCTTTGCATAGTCAATGAAACACAGACATTCCTCTGGGACTCACTGCTTTCAGCCAAGATTTAACTAACATTGGCTATAGTTTCTGTAGTACCATGGCCTCTTCTAAATCCAGCCTGCACATACGGCAGTTCTCCGACGATGTTCCAGTCGTTTTGGGGTCATTTTCAGCAGGATCTTGCCTGCATGTGATATTAATGACACTGTTCGATAATTTCTTCACTATGTCGGGTCACCTTTTTTGGAATGGGAACAAATCCACCTCAGATCTTGTCTCAGAGGTTGGTATTCTGTTGGCAGGCTGCAGAAACATACTTTTCGAATGACACCAAGAAGAAAGCCCTGGTGATTGAGTTGCAAAAATTAGCAAACAAACCTTACAGCTCACAATGCTGACTGGCTTGTTACGGACAGGTCATCAGGAAGGATCAAGCTCCAGGAGGCCATCTGGGGAAGTAGGGGTCAGTGAAGGAGACTCTGGGTCGAGTGGACTGGCCCAGTCACCTCCATGAGGGACTTTGTCATAAGCAGTGATTAAGAGGCAAGGGCAGAGCCAGGCGATGGTCAAGACAGGGTCTCCATGTGTCAGAACACCATGGAACCTGATCTGTCACAGGCCAGCGAGAACTGGCACGCCTCACCCACGTCTCCGTTCTTTTTCAACACAAGTTTGCAGATTCTTTCCCATCGTTCCTGCAGCAGAGAGCTGTGGTGACTCACGGATGAACCAAAGAACGACAGCGTCCTTGGCTTCTAGGTCGGCCACCATGACCTGTCGGATGGACAGCTTCTTCACTTGGTCACCTGCTGTCCCGCACTCCACACAGGGCACAGACGTGGGCACTGCTGGGCGATGCCACTTCTCTTTGGGCTACAGGCTCTCGGAAGTCGGTCATCCTTGGAGGAGTCCACCACCAGGAGATTCCTCGCTATGTGCCCCCAGCAAGGTGCCTCTCAAGTGCGGAAGACACCGGGATAGAGGGCTTCCTGTGGCCCTTGCACTCCACCCCTAATCTGTTGTGAGGGGCTGGGGGGCTGCCTCTGACTCCCAGTGAGCCCAGGAACGGCACAGTGGGACCCTGCTTGGCCCTGCACCATCGCACAGCACCTGCTATGTCACTGTGTCAGCCACCTCCCTGGGGCCCCCTCTCCTCTCCCCATCATGCTCACCTCACCAGCATGTTACTGTCCTTGTTGTTAGGTGCTGTGGAGTCAAGAACAACTCACAGCCACCCTGTGAATCACACATCTGACCCCTGACATCCTCACAATCTCTGACACACTCAAGCCTGCTGGTGCAGTCACTGTGTCAACCCTCCTGGCTCCGACAATGAAAGGATTTGTGCAGCTGCTTCTCCTCATTTTGACTGCCTTCCAATCTGGGCTCCACCTCGAAACTATTATTATCCACGTGCCTTTATTGTTCGTAGGTTTTCAGAGACCTGCTGTTTCAGAAGTGGATGGCCAATCCTGTTTCCTAGTCTAAATCTAGGAGCTCTACTAAAACCTGTCCACTGTGGGTGACCCCCCTGGCATTTGATACACTGGTGACCAGCCTTCTCGGCAGCCGCAAGATAGATACTTCAGTACAGTGAACTGACCGACAAGAGCTGTGCTGACAGAACTTATCTACAAGGGACTCAGCACACTCCAGATGCCACTGGCATGCGGTGGCCCAGCGGGGGCAGAGCGCATCTCAGGGTTTTTGGGGCAGAAAGCAGGGGGAAGCAGGTGGGTCACCAGGTTGGCCTCTGAGTGTCTCTGGGTGGATTCCAACTGCCAACCTTCTGGCTGATAGTTGAATGCTTAACTGTACCTCTCAGGGATGCACAGGATAAGACACTGGCCATGAACCAGTCACTGTCTACAGGTCCTAAAGGAGGAGGTCAAGTCTGCACGAGGGGCTCCCAGCTTCGACGAGCTCACAGACAGGCACCGACAGCCACATCCTTGGACAATGGCTGACTACCCAGGGGAGCTGGTCCTGACCTCGCTCGCAGCTTTCCGCAGGGCCCGCGTGTCCTCAGCTTGGGCGAAATACTTGGTCTCAAACAGGGCGATGCTCTCTTCCAGCTGGTGGACCTGATTGGTCAGCTGGTCCACATGCAGGTCCTGGGGAGTAAAGGAGAAGACGCCCCTTGGGGACAAGCCCAGGCTGAGGGACTGTGCACACCAGCACTCCTGAGGGCGGCCGGCACTGCTGCTGTGGAGAGAACGGTGTCCCCCACAAACGTCAGTCCTTGGTCCCTGTCCTGTGATCTAGATGTTGTTAGAAACTAGGTTTTCCTTTTGTTTCTCGGTGTAGGTGTAAACTCAATCCCTTCTCAGCGGCATCTCACCAAGAGAGAAACAGATGCAACGGATGCAAAGAGAAATGCAAAGAAACACAGGGGCGGGGGAGCTTCCAGACTGATAGGAGAGAGCTTCCTTACCCAGAGGACCTGCCTGCCAGCACCTGATCTGCCCCCACCCGCAGGCCTGTCCCCTCTGCCCCCCAGAAGTGATTCAAAACGCACACACAGTGGCTGCAAGTGAGGAGATCCCCACCTTCCTCCTGGAGCCTCTGGGGAATGTGAACCTCTGGAGGCGTCCAGCCTTTGGGTCAGCAATGCCACCCCCTGTGGCTGTGCCACCCAAACCCCCCTGGAGAGCTAGACACAACACACACTGTCCTTCCGCAGGACGTCTGCTCTGGCCCCAGCACCCAGCTTGCAGCGCTCCAAAATATGAAACCAAACCCACACTGCCAGGACTCTGACTCCAGTGACTCTCCAGGACAGAGCAGAACTGACCCGTGGGCTCCCAGGTCTGTGGACCCCAAGGCCGTGGGCTTCCAGGCCATGGACTCCCAGGTCCGTGGGCTCCCAGGGCCGTGGACTCCGAGGTCTGTGGACTCCCAGGTCCGTGGACTTCCAGGCCGTGGGCTCCGAGGTCCGTGGGCTCCCAGGCTGTATATCCTCACAGGAGCAGCCCCTCATCTTTCCCCTGCTGGCTTTGAACCGCACACCTCTCGGTGAGCAAGTGAACGCTCAGACACCAGCACTTCTGTGGCTTCCCGGGAGCTGACTGTTGTTGAGGCCTAAGTGCATGTGTGTTTGCCGGGTACCTGCTTTTTCTTCTCCACCTCGGCCCTCATCCTGTCCATCTCGGCCTTCTTGACGACCTGCTGCATCACACAGATGTCATCACGCACGTCCTGGTCCACATTCTGCATGTAGAAGAGATGGAGGGCCTGCCTCTCCACCTCGGCCTGCAGGGCCGACACTGCGGGAGGAGCGGGAGGTCAGTCCCTGACACCTCGAGAGGCCCGAGACCAGTGAAAGACAGGGGCCACCGCCTCAGGGTCTCCTTGCTGCCCCTTTAGAAGAACTGCGTAAGCCAGAGGCTGGCCTCGGCTGCCAGAGAGCTCGCGGTGTGATGGACGACGAGTGAGGCCGTGAGGCGGTGGTGCTGTGGGCCTCCAGGTCTTGGAGAGCCTCACCCTGGTGGTGACTGGGGCCTGTGAGAAGTCCTCTAAGGGGCAGCGGTAGGTCTCTCTTCTTCCAGAGTGGAGGGAAGAACGTCAAGACACATGGCAACGATTACTGGCCGGGACTGGGCGCCTCTCAAGCCCAGATAGCAGGACGGCAAGCCGTGAAGAGCTGGATGGTGCCCCACCGACACTGCCCCCACCGACACTGCCCCCCACCGACACTGACCCCACTGACACTGCCCCCATCAACACTGCCCCCACCGACTCTGCCTCCACCAAAATCACCCCACCAAGTCCCTCACCAACACTGCCCCCCCAAGCTCCCCATCAAACCCTCCACCGACTCTGCCTCCCATCGACCCTGCCCTCACCAACACGCCCCCACCCCCCACTGCCTTTGAAGTCCTGGGTAGAGTCCAAGACAAATGTGGAGCAGCTATGAACACCACCAGGCTCACTCTGACGGGTCTGGTGGGACCCCCGGCCATGGCCCTGCATCTGAATTCTCTCCTATGGCTCAACGTTCAGTCAAATGATAGAGGGGCCGGTAAAGGAGGCCCCAAGGGTAGCTTTGTGCAGGGAGAGTGCTCCGAGAGCAGGGAAGGACGCAGGGAGTTACATGGCGGAACCATAACCAGCGTCTTGAAAGAAAAGTGTGTTTGAACCGTGGGATTGGAAACCATTATGCTCCGCAAATTAAGATGATCCTCCTTGTTAATAAGAGAAGGCTGGCCTTGAAAGCCTTGGCCCAGAACAAGGCCCTCGCACCTGAATTCAGCCCTCAGGCCGCCCAGCTGAGAGCAACCCATCTCTGCCAGTTAAAGCCATGCCACCTGCCTGGGCCTTGTCCTGGCAGCAAAAGCTGCATTCCTGGTGCACCGGTCCCAGCGGTACAGAGCGGCTTCCTGTGCACGCGGTTCCCCCCAGCACGGGGTGGCCCTGGGGTGCACGGGTTCCCCCCAGCACAGGGTTCCCCCAGGGTGCGTGGGCACAGCCTTACGCTTCCTGCGCTCCTGGTTGGCGGCCTCGTTGGTGCGCGCATAGAGGGTGCGTGCGTCCTGCAGCTCCTCCTCCCGCTGCCGCCGCCCACTGGCCACGAGCGCATAGCGGTCATGGCTCCGCTCGAGCTGCATCTGCAGGCGCGCTAGGTGCTGCTGGACCCCGTACAGGTTCACGCCCACCTCCTGCCGCTGCGCGCGCGTCTGCTTAGTGGCCACGGCCTGCGCTAAGAACAGAAGTTAAGGGGACGCGGAGACCCAGGGTGGCTGGTCCTGGAGGGGAGGCGGCAGGGTCGGGTGTAGGACGCACCAGCTCCTGCAGCTCCAGCTTCAGCGTTTCAATCTGCCGAGTCAGGTAGCTCTTGAGCGCAGCCTGGAATCTGATCATCAGGGGCTAAATGGAGGGGAGACAGCACAGAGTCACTTCCTGCCCAGTCCAGGGCTCCCTAAGCCACTGCCTCTCTCCTCCCCCTCACGACGCTCCTGCTGGGGACTCCCCACGTCTGCCTGCAAGAGCAAGCACGCAGAGAGGGAGCAAGCACGCAGAGAACTTGCCCAGTGCAGCGTCTGCCCGGTCCCACTGCACCCAGCTTTCCCAGGTGGGCCATTGACCAGAGGAAGTAAGGAAGGGAGGGAGGGAGGGAGGGAAACAGGAAGAAAGGAGGGAAAGAGGGAGGGAGGGAAAAAGGGAGGGAAGGAGATAGAGAGGAAGGGAAACAGGAAAAAAGGAGGGAGGGAGGGAGGGAGGGAGGGAGGAAGGAAGGAAGGAAGAAAGGAAGGAAGGAAGGAAGGGATGGATTTACAGTCATATGCTCAAGACACAGCTGTCACAGTGACTGTGTGTGGCCCACGGGCCCTTTGGCCACGTTGGGGGACAGCTGTGACTCTGACACTGAAAGAGGGTGCTATCTGCATTGAGTGGGTGGAGACCAGGGATGTCTCTCCGGCTCCTTCTGTGCACAGGACAGCCCCCGCCTGAATAGTCCAGCCCCAAAGGTCACCAGTGTGGAGGCCAGGAAGGCACAACTCTGACAGGAGGTCTTACAGCACAGTAAACCCACAGGCCAGCCTTGTAGTGGACACGGCAGGACATTGGAGGTGTGTGCGCCCGTTGGAGGGGGCAGAGAAGAGCCTGATGCCGCATGGGCACCTCTCAGTTTTCTAGGCAGAAGCAAATGCTGAGCACGCTCTCTTACGTGGTTTGGGTCCAGAACCACCAGCTGCGACGTGTCTTCATCCTCTTCCTCCTCGCTTCCCTCGGCCTCCCTCTGCCCCATCAGGACCCCTTCCTCCTCGGTGCTCAGCTGCTGCAGGCGGTCCAGGAAGGGGGGCTGCTGGCCTGACTCCGGTCTGTGGGCCTCAGAGAGACCTGTGAAGAGCGAGGGTCCAGCAGACACCAGTGAGAGCATCTGAGAGACAGTGATTGGTAACACTCTTCTGGGAGGGTCACAGGGCCTCTACGGACAGCCAGGATGGGCAGGTGAAGGAGCAGTCCTGTACTGCGTGACAGGGACATGTGCAAACAGACGGTGGTGACAAATGAACACTAGGAGGGGTGCGGTTAGCGTCACTGGACTGGACATGGAAACATCATTGAATGGCATGTGTTTCATTATCTATACTTTGACCACAGACCCACAAACACTTCAAAGTGGATTTAAGTTTAAAAAAATTACTGTTTATACTTTTCTATTATAAAAGCTACCAGGTTAGTATAGTATTAGTGGTAGATTGGAAGTCACTAAAATAATACAGAGAAACAGCTATAAGTGTCCATTATGAACTAGAACGTGGAATGTATGGAGTATGAATGTAGGAAAACTGGAAATTGTAAAAAATTAAACACATGAAGATAACACTCTGGCATTAGTGAGCTGTGAAGGACTGGCATCGACGCTGGGAGTAAAAAATTGAGGAAGAACGGTGTTACATCCCCAGTTAAAAAGACCATTTCAGGATCTGTCTTGAAGTACAATGTTACAAGTGACAGGATATTGTCCAAACAAAGTGAATAAGGAAGGCTTGTTAATGCAGCTATTACTCAGATATACACACCAACAACGAAAGCCAAAGAACAGGAAACTGAGGTTTCCCACCAGTTTTTGCAGTCTGAGATTGACCAAACATCCTGTCAAGATGCAGTAACTAGCGACTGGAATGCAAAAGCTAGAAAAGAGGAAGGAATGATACTCAGAAAGTATGGACTTGGTGACAGAAATGAGACTGGAGATAGAATGGCTGAATTTTGTATATTTAGTGATTTATTTGTTGCAAATACCTTTTTTAATTATTAAATTTTATTAGTTTTAATGAACATTTACAGGGATTTTGGGTTTTCATTCCTTCATTGCTGCACCATTCTTGCAAATACCTTTTTAAAGAAAGATAAACAGTGAGTATATCCATGGACCTCACCTGATGAATTCCACAGGAGTCAGATGGACTTCCTTTGTGGAAAGAATCCTTGGAGAAGCTCGGTATCAGCTGTCAAGATGAGGCCAGGTGCTGACCAGAACAGACCATCATTTCCTCATATGTAAGTTCAAATTGAAGCTGAAGATAATGAAAACAAGTGCACAAGAACCAAAATACACTTCGCGTCTATCTCACCTGAATTTAAAAGTCATCTTAAAAACAGACTTGGGGCGGGGGAAGGGGAAGAGAAGACTTGGACATTGAACATTGATGATCTAAGACTAGATGAGTTGTGGGATGACATCAAGGATATCATCCGTGAAGACAGAGAGCAAAGTCATTACAAAGACAGAGGAGAAAGAAAAGACCAAAGTGGATGTCAGAAGAGACTCTGAAAAGTGTACTAGGGGGTCAAGAAGCCTAAATAAACACAAGGGATGAACAGAAGAATTCAAAGGACAGCTTGGGAAGAGAAAGTGAAGGAATAGAACATGCAAAGAGCTGGAGTTGGAGGAAAAAAGGGAAGAACTCGCTCAGCATTTCTCATGCTGAAAGAGCTGAGAAACAATTCAAGTCTCAAGTTGTAATATTGAGATGCAATGGGAAAATTCTTGCAAGATCCAGGATGCATCAAAAGAAGATGGAAGGAATACAGAGTCACTGTACCAAAAAGAACTGGTCAGCACTTAAATATTTCGGGAAGTATCGTATGATCGAGAGCCAGTGACAATGAAGGGAGAAGTTCAAGCTGCACGGAAGGCACTGGCTAAAAACAAGGCCCAAGGAGTCCATGGGACACCAGCTAATACAGGCAGCCCTCGATGCGCTCACTGTGCCAGGAACTGCGGAAGGCAGCTGCCAGCCGCTGACTGGACAAGATTTCTATTTATTCCTGTTCCTCAAAAGGGTGATCCCATAGAACCTGGAAATTATCGAGCAATATTCACATCACATGCAAGCAAAACATGATGGAGACGAAGACCCTTAATGAGACGGACTGGCACAGGGACTGCAGCTGTGGGCTCACGGGCGTCAGAGAGGAGGAAGGCGCACAGGACAGGACGGGGTCAGGTCTGCCGTTCACAGCACCGACTCGCTGGCATCTAATGACAGCAGTGTGAATTCACCACCTGACGGTCTGTCGTACTGTGGGCTCTTGCGTGTTGCTGCAGTGCTGGGGCAGGTCTGTCACGGGTATGTCAAACCCCAGCAGAGTCCCCACGGTGGGCCGATTTCAGCGGTGCTTCCTGACAGGCTGGGCTGGAAGCAGGATCTGCGTCTGAACAGAGGGTCGCAAACCCCTCTAATGGAGCAGTGGGACACTGTCTGGTCCAGGGCCGGCAGGTGAGGCCCTCCGCTCGGAAGGATGTTGTAGTCACTACTACGGCAGACGTCACCACAGAGAGAGGGTTGGGATGCCGGGCCAGGCGAGGTGGTTCTGGTGAACACAAGATCAACTCCACATCAACAACAACAACATTGTCAATTTAGGGCCCTCGGGGGCACAGAGGCCAAGTGCTGGGCCACGGTTTGAACTCATCAGCTGCTCCAGCCATAGATTCACAGCCTCCTCCGCCCCCAGCGTCATTGTGGACCTTGAGGCCACGGGCATTGTAAAGTCGTTGTCTTCATGTGTTCCATGGAAAAGATCAAATTTAAGGGCCAATGAGAAGGAATTTCAATTTGTAACCATTTTAAAAAATACGTAAGTGCCGGTCTCCATGGAAAGATGGGCTAGCTTTGGTTTTGAAATGATTAAGAGGCAGCTGAAAAGATGAAAGAGAAACGGAACAGGCCCTGCGGCTGCTCAGGCAGGCTGGAGAGACCGGCTGCATCCACTCACATCGTGAGCTTGTGGTAGCGGGACTACCCTTGTGTATCAACCACTCGGAATAAGTCGATTTATGCGCGTGACTCTGAGAGCAGATGCCCTGGTGGCGTGGTCCATAGAGTGCTGTGCTGGTAATCCAAAATGCAGCGCCTTCCTGGAGGTTCAAATCCCCCGGCAGTTCCAGGGGAGAAAGGCGGGCAGCTTCTCCATGTGCTGTCGGGGTGCGAGAGCTGAGGCGGGTCAGCTGCAGGTCAGTTCTGACTCCGCTGCGATGAGTTTCGTGTGATGCATTGTGTCCCTGAGAAGACTCTGCCGAGGCCCTAAACCCCGCTGTGTGTGACCCCATTTGGAGACAGGGATTTGGGAGGTGAGCACGAGGCGCCGCAGCAGCATGTGGTCCCGTGCGCTCTGAGTTGTTGGGTGCCTTCAAGCAGAACTGACCCTCCAGTGGGTTTTCGGAGACAGTCAGTTGCATGTGAGGAGACTGTCCGTCCTCCTGCAAGCGGCTGGGGGATTCAAACCGCATGCCTTTGGGATCACAGCGTGCTTTCTTACCACTAGGCTTCCCGATGCAATCCGAGTGGTGTCCCTGCTTTGTAGAGGAGAGATGCAGAGGGAAATGGCCTCATGGAGACAGACCGAGAGGGGGCTCCTGTAAGTGCTGGAAGCCCCCAGAGCTGAAGGCGGCGGGGAAGGAGCCCCTCTAGGAGGCTTTGGAGGAAGTGTGGGGCTTCCAGCACCTTGACCGTGAACTTCTGGCCCTGAGAACAGGGAGAGAACCCACTCCTGTGGGCACGTTTGCAGAGCCTTGTTACGGCAGCCGCAGGGAATGAATGCAGCTCCCGTCTGTTCTGCAGGCGCTGTGCTCTCAGGTTATGGAAGCCGAGGAACCAGCCAGGGGTGAGCCAGCGAGACCGCTGAGCCTCAGGTGCACGTTGAGGGGAGCTGTCGGCAGATCCTGTCCCCCTGAAGGTAGGAGGTGTATAGAAAAGGAGCGAGGTTGCAACCACTATGAAAGGCAGTGTGGCGCTGTCGTAAAAAGTTGCAAATAGAAATACCATTTGACCCATCAATTCCACTACAGGCAATATACCCTAAAGAGACCATAACTGCCACCCAAGCAGATATATGCACACCCATGTTTATTGCAGCTTTGTTCACAATAGCAAGGCGTTGGAAACAACCTAAGTGCCCATCAACAAACGAATGGATAGAGAAGCTCTGGTATAGTATACCCACACAATGGAATACTATGCTGCACTGAAAAACAAGGAATTCATGCAATATTATTAAAAGTGGGTGACCCTGGAGGACATTATGCTGAGTGAAATATCTCAGTCACAAAACTACAAATACTGCATGGTGCCACTGTTGTAAAACAGGACTGACATCGGGGTTGGGGGGAGACTGAGAAGGATGGCATAAATAATGTATACTGCATTGAAACAGATGAGGGAGAAAACTGTTTAAAAGGGATATATGATTAGGTATTATCGTCGTGACAGGAGTCCAGAACTAAGGCTGCATCAAGTGGAGTGGACCTGGGGAGGGGGGATTGTATACCAATGAAAGAATTTTTCTTTCACTTTTCAAAGAGAAGAGTGTATGGGGGAGGGGGTGGGCAGGGAGAAAAGTGCAACAATAAATGAATGGAAATCCAAAGTCTCTGTAAATTTTCATTAAAATGAATAATAATTAAAAAAGAAAGAAAGAAAAGGAGCTGGGGCCCTGAGCGGGCGTCACTGGCTCTGGCTCTAGCGCCCCTCGCTTGGTTTGGTTACTGGCCGACTCTCAGGGACCTTGTTGGGTCAGGGTAAGGGTTAAAGCAGAGACCACTGCTGTCTATAGTGGGGTCTGACTCCTCCTGACCCTTCTGATGTCTGAGCCTGCAGACACTTCGGGGAGGAGACTGCCCACCTGTCCCCATCACGGCGTTGCTACTGTCAAGTGGGAACTGACCCACAGGTGGCCCTGTGGCCCCAGCGGGATTTCAGATTACCCATCCTTGTCCCACAGAACAGCTGGTGGCTTTGAACTGTGAGCCCAGGCCACCAGGGCTGCAGAGTTCTGTGGGATGCCCTGCGCCCCCAGGAATCCTCAGCATCGGGGTTAAATGATATAAAAATGGGGGCTGCCCACTGAGTGCAGCTAGTGGCATTTTTCTGGAAGGTTCCCCAGTGCTGAGTGTGGGACTCGGCCCGCCCGGGACAGTCGTGAGGTCGTAAGGTACCTGGGTCCCATGCGGACGGCTCCTCCGGGGGCAGGAGGACCTCCTCTTCCTCATCGGAGCTCAGGCATAAGTGGAGGCTGGTCACAGACGAGAGCTGTGCCTGCCCTTCTGGGCTAGGCTCTGCCTGCAGCAAAAACAGACGCTATCAACTTAGTAAACTTGACAAGGACGGCTAACCGTCTTCTTACCCAGCGTTTGAAATGTATGGCAATGGCTAAAACTCCACTCTCTGTTCTGTGCACGGACAAGGGACGATGTCTGGCACGCAGGCACGCTAGGTCGTGAGATGAGAGTAAGCTGGCTGTGAGGTTAATGTGTCGTCTTGGCTGCGCCACCTCCGGCTAGGCCGTTAGGAATAATGCAATCCTGCAGTGACGGAGGCACCTCCACTTTGCACAACGCTGACTTCTGCATAACAGCGTGGTCTCTGGAATCTGTTTCAGCAAGTGAGGAGAGAGTCTGTTTGCCCTTGATTCATTCTGTTGTTTGAATTCAACAGAAAACTGGATTTCAAGACGGTCTGGCTTTTGTGAATGGTCAGAATAAAATGTCTGTAAACCTCACCTGGGGAGTCCAGGAATCCTGCCTGGTGGGAACCTGCAGCGTGGTGTAGGTGCTGGGCCAGGACCCGCATGCAGACACAGCTGATACCCCAGCAAAGGAGCTCTGAGCAGCCGGTGAAACCGTGCAGGTCAGCCTCGGACCCCGCCCGGGCTCTTCCGAAAGTGCGAGTCCTCCTTCTGCTCTTGTTTTCAAACAGCTCCACTTCAGGGACATTTCAGCAAGTATTTTCCCTTGAAAGAAGGGCCTGTCTTTGTTTCCGCTTTAGATCACCCTCCTGTGGTTACTGTTCCAGGGGCAGATGGATGGCAAACTGGTCAGGACCGTTAGTGCTGTCAAGTCAGCGGCGGTTCACAAGCTCGGAGCCTTGGCCTACCTTTGTCAGCCTCACGCCCTTCCTTGTGGTCACGGAGTCAGGCACCTGTGGAGACTCGTCCTCTCTTTTTCTGACCCTCTCCTTTCCCAGCATGTCTTTTCCCAAGGCCTACCTCCTCCTGATGACACGGCCAAAGTAGGCGAGATGGATTTCACCTCTCTGGCCTCTCAGGGGCACCCTGACCGCAGTCCCTCCCAGACAGACAGTTCTGTTGACAGTCCAGAGGACGTTGAGTCTCTTCTCCAACACTCCAGCTCCAAGGCTTCCATTCTTCCTCAGTCTTCCTGATCTACTGTCCAACTTCCAGATGCATATAAATGAATATTAGTGACAAAAAGACATGCCTCAGTGCCCTACCACCCACAAAGAACACCACTCACTTATTTTAGAATGGGAAGAGGATGTTCATTTTGTTGTTAATTTTTAAAAATTTTTATTTTATTAATTTTGTATGTGTACCATCAAATCGGATCTGACTTGTATAGGAGGAGACTGCCCCTCCTTCCCCAGCAGAGCATCTGGTGATTTCGAACCGCGTACCTCTAGGATTGCAGTGCAGCTCCTTGCCACTAGGCCACCAGGGCTCCCCATGTAGTTAAATTTTTTAAAGTGGTTTTGATCATACTTTTGTCATGTGTAATCATAAATGCTTACTTAGGACCTATCCGATGATTCCCCAAAGTTCACAAATATTGTTGGTTTCCTGGGGCAGGACGTGGGGGAGGGCTGGTCATATTGTTGGTTCAGAACAGAGGCCTTTGTGTAAAAGCTCTGCGACAGCTGTGTGACCCCTGCATTCTTGGGAGAAATGACACTGGTCCAGGTGTCTGATCCTTCTAAAATGGATTTCCCCCGCCCCCACCAGTGTTTTGTTGAAAACTTCTGCATCGATATTCCTGAGGGATGTTGGTTGACAGGTTTCTCGTAACCTCTTTATTCAACTTTGGCTTCAGCTGGCCTCCTAAAACGAGTCAGGGCATGTTTCATCCTCCAATTTTTTAAAAAAAGAGTTTGAGAAGAATTTTTGCTAGTTTCTCCGTAATCTGTCCTAGTTTCTCCTGGAATTCATCAGTGAGAAAGGACTTTTTCTGTCACTCCGCTATTTGTTTTCTGTCTCGGGCCCTTTTCATCCCTTGGTCTCTTGGGTGCTGCTCTTTTGTGTGATTTAGTTTCTATTTTGTTGTGAATCACTTTGGGAATTTATAGTTGTCATCCTAAATTTAAAACTTAGCTAGAGGTGACACAGACTTAAGTACACACGCCGCCGCCCCGCACTCGTCCTGCCTTGCCCTTATGCCGACGCTGCAAAGCATGTCTTCAGAAACTGGGCGCCCGGTGTCACATTTTGTAATAGTTTTATCATCACAGTTTATGCTTTTGTGTTTTATATAGTGTGGCACATAGTGAAGAGTTGTTGTTATGTGCTGTCAAGTCACCTGTGACTCACAGCGACCCTACGTACAGAAGCCCTAAAAGCCTCCTCTATCCTGTGCCAATCTTATTGTGTCTGACACACCTACCCCCATGGTGTACACACAAAAAATACAAAAAAGTGCTCTTGTAGCTTGGGGAGTGTAACCCTTGTCATGGAACAAAGCGTGTGAATTGTTGACTGGAAAACCAAGGTACTTTCTAAAACTTTCATTCAATGGCAGTAAGAAGTTGTTTTAGAAAAGCAAAGCTGGCCTTACTATTTGCTCTTGACAGTACCTGTGTCAAAGGTCGTCATTTATTCACACAGCCTCAGGTCACCCTCCTGTGTCTCCTGCTCTCAAGGGGATAACGAACTTCCTCAGCTTTTATTTAAGATGGTCTTGATTTCACCCCATTTTGGAAGGGTAGTTTTTCTGAGTAGAGAATTCTTGAATTTCTGGGGTTTTGTTTTCTCCCCTGCCCCGACACTTCCTCCACCCCACAGCTCTGGTATCCATGGTTCCTAGGGGGTGGACACGTGATCTAACTGGAATTCCACCTTACGTGATGGCTTGCTTTTCTCTTTATTTTCTGAACGTTGAATTTGTTTCTTCTCAGTGCCTTTGGTGGGATATGACAGAGTTACCAAGCCCGTGGTGTCTTCAGTGGGTTGTCATTGCTGCAGAAGGTCAAGGACTACAGTCTTCAATGTGGATTGAAGCTCACCATCAAGAAGACAAAGATTCTCACCACTGGGCCAACTGGCAGCATCATCGTAGATGGCGAAGAGACTGGGGTTGTTAACAATCTTGACTCAGCTCAACAATCAGCACTCTCGGCACCAGGAGTCAGGAAGTTAAAAGATGAATTACACTGAAAAAATCTTCTGTCAAGGACCTCTCCAGAGTACTGAAAAGCAACAATATCAGTCTAGAGACTAAGATGCGCCTGATTCAGGCCGTGGTCTTCACAATTACTTGCTGTGCGTCAGAGAGCTGGACAATGGCTGAGGATGACAAAAGAAGAATTGATGCCTTTGAGTTATGATGCTGGAAAAGATTCTTAAACATACCATGGACCACCAAGAAAACAAATAAGTCTGTCTTGGAGAGGGTGAAACCAAGTCTTTCCTTGGAGGCTAGGATTTTGAAGCTCCATCTCACATACTTTGGGAATTTGTCCAGGAGGGACTGATCCTTGGAGAAGGGCATCATGGTTGGAAGAGTGGAGGGACAGTGCAGGAGAGGAAGACCCCGGATGAGATGGGTTGATATAGTGACTGGGGCGATGGGGGTTGGTGTATCAGAGTCAGTGAGACCGGCTCAGGACAGGGCAGGCTTCAGAGCTATTGTACACAGGGTCGCTATGAGTCACAGGTGACTCAATGGCACACAACAACAAAATTATCATCAACAGCAACACAATTTTGTAAAGCGTAAGAGAGAAACAGGTTTGGGGTTAGTTGGTTTGTTTTCTTCCTGTGATGAAATTTCTCCATCTTCATAGATGACTTTGACATTGAAGATCTAGCTAATCCACAGGGTACAAAGTTCAAAAGCTTCGAAATGATGCAGAGCTTGTTTCTTTCTTATCCCTGTGGGGTTGTATATACAGTAGGGTCAGAAAGGCCTCCTAGCCGACCCTCCAGCAGCTCTTCAGAGGCTGCAGGTCACGGGAGGAGGTGCCACTTTTCTGCCTCAGAGCAGCTTGTGGATTCAAGCCATGTGTCCTTGGGCTGGCTGGGCAGCTCCTTACCACTGGGCCACCAGAGCCCCGTACCCTCTACTGTTGCTGTGAAGGACCATACAGTCGGCTTTGACTCGTGGTGACTGGGGAACAACTCCCCTCCACAGTGATCATCCTCATCCTTGATTCCTCGTTAGCCTTTCAGACACAGTCTATGCATGTAGACATAGACCCTCCCTTTCCCTGCCGATACATCCTTATATATCATCTGTATTGTAGGTTTTTACCTGTCCTTAGCATGCTTTCAACATGCTGTGTATGGACTGCTCCACCAGAACTCCTAATTGAAAATTTAGTTTCCCTGCTATGCATCTGAGATCTGGAGGATGACAGAAGAAGAATCGATTTTGAATGGTGGTGCTGGAGAAGAGTAGTGAACATGCATATCATGGACTGCCATGGACAAGAGAACGCACAGGTCTGTCCTGGAGAGGGTGAAACCAGGCTGCTCCTTGGAGGCTAGGATTTTGAAACTCCATCTCACACACTGGGAGCATGTTGCCAGGAAGGACCAGTCCTTGGAGAAGGACATCATGATTGGAAGGGTGGAGAGCCAGCACAGGAGAGGAAGACCCCGGATGAGATGGATTGACACAATGACCGTGGGGTGAGGCATGTCAGAGACAGTGAAGCTGGCTCAAGATGGGGCAGGGTTCATTGTTCAAAGGGTGACTATGGACTATCTTCGACTTGACGGCACCTAACGACAACAACAACAACAAACAGCAACAACATACTAGCTACACTTTGATGCTCAGTATCTCCACGTGACTTCTGCCTAAGAAGTCTAAGTATAGAATGTTCCATCTTCTCAGGAAGAGAATGACCTGGTAATACAGTTAGCTGTGATGTCACCGACCTTGGCTTTGGAACACGGGTGAAGACCTGGGAGTTCTCAGCATCTGAGCGTGCAGCTGGAGACTTCGGTTTGCGATGGGCCGTAGGAACTGGATCTGGGTTTCTGGCGGACACTCACGTTCCCAGCACAGGCAGCCGGGCGGGGCGGGCAGTGAGCGGCTGCACAGCAGCGCTCAGGGTTACTCACCACTTTGCTGGGCGCGCCACTAGGCTCCGATGCCTCTTCTCCTGCGTCTTTGTAAGAATCTTCCGCACCAGCTGCTTCCGTTTCTTCTTCACGTGTATGGGTGACAGCTTCGGCGTCGGCAGACGGTTCCTCCAGACTGAGCTGTGTGTCACTTACATACCTGGAACCAGATTTCACTTCAGGGGACTCCACTTCCAGGTCGAATTCCATCTCTCCTTGGGATTCCCAGTCAAATTCAGGTTTGATTCCCACTTCGAACTCAACATCCACTTTGGATTCTTCAGATTCTATGCCCACTTCTGAGCCGACTCCTCCCATTCCTGGCTGAACTCCTTCCACATCGGGTTCAGCTTCGGTTTGGGACTGGACTTCCACTTCAGATTCAACTTCCGCTTCGGATTCGACCGGCCCTTGGGGTGCATTCTCCCCATTGGTGTCCCCTTCGCCTTGGGTCATGGGTCCCTCTTCAGAACCCTCCATTGCGCCAGAAGCTTCCTCACTTTTCTGATCGTGGCTGGATTCTCGTGGTGAGACCTGTAGCAACAAGGCAGGAAAATAAGTCAGAAAAAGAACTCTGAAACACTGAAGCCAACCTGGCCCACATGGGTGTCCGGCAAGTCTTTGCTGAGCAGACCCTCTTCTCCTGTGGGGCAGCTGGTGGATTTGAACCTCCAACATCTCAATGAGCAGCTCAGCACGTAAAGCCCCCCAGGATCCCTCGTGTAGAATTTCACTTAAGGTCAAACTCAAGCTTATGAGCCTCAAGTTGGGGCCGCTGGGTTTTGAGGCCCTCGTGGTCTGGTCCATGGGGAGTCGTGCGCCCTTCTCAAAGGCCATGCCTCCTGGGTGGCTCAGGCCCCCGGCTACTCACAGGAGAAAGGTGGGCATTCTCTCCCCATGCCGTTTACAGCCTCAGAAGCTTGCTAGAGGGTCCACTATGAGTCACGATCACTCCCTAACAATATCGCTGTGGTGGTGAGGTGACTCAGACCCGATGAACAATGGCTCTGAGCCTGGCCCTCCCCTGTGCCGTCTTCATCGTCTCTTACACATGTGAGCCCATTTTACCCTCACTGTGTCAGTCCATCTTATTGAGGGTCTTCCTCTCCTTATCGTGTAGACCATCCACGTTTCCAAGCACGTCCTTTTCCAAGGATGAGCCCCTCAGCACCATGACCTGAGTGCAAGCGGGGAGCCTCCCCAACTTCACCTCAAAGGATGAACCTAGACTGTCCTTTTCCCAGAACAGATCTGTAGGATCATATCATTCACCTGAGCTCATCCTACTGTTCTGGCTTCCTACAAACACTGTTAGACGGGAAGAAGAGTTGAGAGAGAGAAAGAAGCTGGTCCCGAAATGAACAGGCTTTTATTGCGTGCTCTGAGAGGTACGTCAAGTGACCATATGCATAGGTCAAAATGGCCTGAGGGCAGTCAAGGACAGTTCCTTTTTTTAAGGGGCTTTAAGAGAGGACTGGGGAAGATGGTATTTCCCTCACAATTTGGAGGGAAGAGTCCTGTTAATGAACTTGGGTGTAGACTTTTGTGATCAGGCCCAGAGGCTTATCAGAATCTGGTCACTTAGGGAGTGACCAGGCCTGGTTGAATGCAACATTCTTCCTCCAAGTTCAAATCCAAAGTAATTTTCCTGATAGGCAGCCTTACCCTGTCGTCTCCATTATTGCGTGTCCCTGGTCCTTCTTCAGCAGCGGATCCGCCTTCAGGAGGCCTGGTTTTGGGGAAAACATTTACGTTTCAAAAGACAGCACCTTCCCAGGGCCCCTTCCCCTCAGCACTCATCACCTCCCCATGCTCCCCAGTTGACTGTTGGCTCGGTGTCTGCCTCCCTGCCAGGGCATGACTGCTATGTCCAGTGTTCATGCTGGGACCACCAGAGAGTAGCCTTGCTGAAGAATGAACACAGTCATCGAAAAACAAAAGAAGCAGTCCAGTCAGGTTAGACAACGCCGGGAAAGCCCCTTCCGTGGAGATGCATGTCTGTGACAAGACTGGGGAGCGAGATGCCAAGCATGGGGAGTCCCAGGAGAAGGTCTGGGTGGTCTGTTTACATAGAAATGCCAATTTATGTGTGTAAAAAGCCCCAACCCTACTGCCATCCCATAGATTCCAACACTTGGAGCCCTCCAGTGGGATCTGAGGCTGAACAAGCATGTGTGTTGCGTTCTTGTTGTCGCCTTCTAGTCGATCCCGACTCACAGTGACCCTGTGAACAAAAGGCCTGAAGCCCCTCTACAACTGTGGACGTGTATCGAAGTTCATAGAGTTTCCGGAGGCATGTGGTTTAGGAAGTGGATGCTACTCCTGCTTCCAACAAACACATATATTGTTGTTGTGTACCATCAAGTTGGAACTGACCCACAGCTGACCCTTCAGTGGGTTTTCAGAGGCAGTAATCACACTGATGGGTGGTACTGATAAGTTCAAAATTCTCTATGTGTATCAGTTATGGACCTATATATATAGATAGTTCTAAAACTGGCATTGGTTTTCTCCAGCCTGCAGGACTGGTTGCTTGACCTTAGAATTCCTAGTGTCCTTTCTTTAATCTGTCTGTTTATCAGAAGAGGAGATGCAGCTCCTAGATCAGCTGTTATCTCTTTGAATCATATGAAAATTGTAACTTAATCTGCCTGCTTGTATCTGGGTGATTTTCTTTCAGATGTAGAAATTCTTTGATATCATTAAGTAAGTTGGTGTCTCACCCTAGTGTACAAACCTGGTGACCTCTTGCAGTCCGGAAGGCCGTCTTGGAGGCCCACCGCTGTCCTCCCAGATCTGTAATAAAGTGCTTGTGGATATTGCAATCCGTTTTGTCTTACTGGCAATTGACTATGGAAAGAACGCCTTGCATTCAGTAACACAGGAGGAGATTGCCTGTCCCTGGTGGATTTGAACCTCATGCCTTTGTGACTGCAGGACAGCTTCTTACCACTAGGCCAACAGAGCTCCCTAAGTGTTGTTGTTGTTGTTATGTGGCATAGATTAAATTCTGACTCACAGTGACCGTACAACAGCTCTGAACCCTGCTCTATCCTGAGCCAATATCATTCTCTCTGAGTGGCCTACTTCCATTACCCCAGTCATATTCTGTTCTTTAGAACAGGAGGTCTCAGGGCTGCATCTTCCCATTCACAGGGCACCCCAGCTGCCACCGCCCATTCGGGTGAAGGGTCTTAGGGGACATCCAGCCAGTAGGAGCAGAGGTGTAGACCCCTGGGACTCACAGCTGGTGGTCCCACTGCGCCCAGACGCCAAGACTAGTGGTTGCCATGGTTACCGCGGCCCGCCCGTGGGGGGCTGTTGGAGGGAGTTGGGCTCAGGGAGAAAGGTGGGAGAGGACAGGAGAGGGGCTAAGAGGGAAGAGGCGCGGCCGTATGCTGACAGTCTCCCGAAGTGGCGCAGGAGGGGAGGGAGACGGGACAGGAAGGGGACGCAGGGTTCCCTCTGAGCGCAGTGGCGGAGAAGCGTGTCCCAGGTCCCCCTCATCGCTCCTCACCACCCCTATCCTCCACTGTACATCTGCTCACCCGCCGGCAGCGTCCTGGGGCTCAGCCATCTTCTCGTCGCTAGGCAACGGCATCAACATCCGGTGGGGGGTACCAGCGCGCAGGCCGGGCGGGAGGAGGACGCGGAGTGGCGCGGGCCTTTGTGTCACTGACACCGCGAGGAAACGTGGAAAACACGACAAGCATTTACGCAGAGACGAAGGGACGCAGTTCTAAAGCTGGCCGTGTCCCCGCCCTGCCCCGCGGGCTCGATGTCTAGAAAGCAGGACGTGTCCATGCCCATTCCGTGCGCGCCCCGGGTGGGAAGTGCGCGCCGCCGGGTGGCAGGTGGAAGTGGGGTGGGCTCTGGACCCACCTGTCCACCCGCGGACCTGGGGGCAGCCCCCGCCGCCCGATGACCACTGCGATCCACCGGGAGCGAGGAGGGTGCCCTGTGGCCGTCCAGCCCTTCCTCTCCTCCAGGCTGGCCTCTCTTTTCCACCCCCAAATATAAAAGGGGCGCAGTGAGGGAGGGCTCGCCCCTGGACCGTCTCGGGGTCCCGCTGAACTCATGGTCCCTGGGCCGGGGTGAGGGGCGAGGCTGGCCAGGGCATGGACATGGATGGTGCCCCCGCCAAAAGCCAGGGGAGCCGGGTCAGAGGATGAGAAGGATCGAGGGCGGGCGAGGAAGGGAGGCCGGGACCGGCTTGGGGTCGGGGTGGGCGGGTCCCCGAGGGGAGAGTCGGGGTCGCCCGGGGTGAGGGCAGGAAAGGAGGACCCTGCCCAGGAGGCGGCGGGCAGGCAGGCTCCGGTTGGCGCTGGGGGAGGAAGGCGGGAGGACCAGGGGGCGGGCCGGGGGCCGGGCCTGGCGCTGTCCCCGCCCCACCGCACCTTAGTGGCGGTGGCAGCGGCGCTAACGGCGGCGGCTGTGGCGCCGGCGCGAATCCGGCCCCCGCAGCGGGATCCGGGTGAGTAACCGGGTCGGTCGGTCCCGGGGCCGTGGGCAGCGGGGCCGAAGGGCCTCCCGCGACCGGGGCACCTGCCCAGGCGAGCCGGGGTGGGGGCGCGGGGCGCGTGGGCCGGCAGCTGCGGGCCCGGGGTGAGGGGAACCCGGCTCTGGCCGCAGCCCTGGGGGGAGCAGGGCCCCAGGAAGGCGCGTGGGCGACGCGGGGGACTCGAGTCCCGCAGGAGGGGCGTGGGGACCCTGGGCGGTGGGGTCCGCGCCCCGGGCCGGGAGTAGGCCCAGTCCGGGAAGGCTTGGTCCCCGCGGACGGAGAACTTGCGGTCTTTGTCTGGCTGGATCGTAAGAGCACGCGAACTGGAACTTGGGGGGCGGCGTTTGTGGGACACAGCCTCCGCGCTCCCCCCCCCCCCCCCCTGCGTCCACCACGTCGGAGTGGGAGGCTCTGGGCCGCGTGTCCGAAACTCACTTCCCCACAGTCCGAGCGCGAGTGTCCGGGTCTTTCCTTAAGAGCAGACAGAGAGAGAAGCTGGTTAAGATTGCTAAAAATAGCCCTCGGCGACCTCCCCTAACCCGGAGGCTCTGCAGCCCCCACACTCGGAAGTGCGAGTGGCCGCAAGCTGGTGCAGAACGAACCCCAAGCCTCTCCCAGGCTTGTGCGCCTGCCTCGCCCGGTTCTTGGATTCGAATCTAGGCTCCGCAGCCTTTACCACCCGAAGGGACGATTCCTTTTTCTGGAGAGAAGAGGGGAGCTGGCTGGAGGCTGTGGTCCAGCGGGGGCCAGCTGGGGGGCCTCTGGGTGGACTTCCAGCGGGTCCCAGTCAGTACCGCGTCGCGGAGACAACTTTTCACAGTCTCCACCTCGTGTCTGAAGTTCCTGGGCGGCAACTGGGCAGCAATTCGAGGCTGGTGGAAGTTGAGAGTCCCATGGACTCCTTGCACCGACCTTTAAGTCAGCTCAGGAAAGTTCTGGAAGGGGAATTGTTGGCTCTTCTAGCAGCTGTTAGGCAGAA